GTGTGTGTAAATGCATTCACGCATATAATGCATGGAATTAATTTTTATGGGCATGACCTCCTTCCAGCTATTTCTAATCTACAGTCAGGGGAAAACTTACTTTTTCTAGAAAGAAAACTAAGTTGAAGATGACCTAATAGTAATAACAATATTTCAAATTACACTTAAAAATATATAGTTTACACATTGTTTTCCCATTTAACCATTTAGGGTTAGTACTGAAGAGTAGATGACATGGACTTTGCAGTAAGCCAAGAAATGTGTTCAAAATCCAACTGTGCCAATTAGTAAACACATGACCTGGGGTAAGTTCCATAATTTCCCAAGACTTCTTGTCCTCATGGCAAAATAGAACTAATAATACCTTCTTCACATAGGTGATAATGTAAGGATTGAATCAGTTAATATGTATAAAACCCTGAGTGTATGCCTCACACCTAGCATTCAAACCATGGTAGCTAACAATAATGTCAAAGACTATTTTTTTAAAGATAAAGAAGATTTCTTAATGTAAGAGACAACTGAAAAAGTATTAAGGATGGTTGCAGAAAGGAAGGGAAGAGAAGATGTAGAGGGCAAGGAGGCGACATAGCGACATGGGGAATGGTGAGCGAAGCAGAGATATGTTGGGGACGTGAGCTGTATATCCACTTTATGAAAACAAAGTCCGTGTCCCCTTCAAGTGAAATATGAAAAGAGACAGATGAGACAGTGGACAGAAAATGAGGTGACAGCTCGGTTCTAAGGTGAGTGCGTTAATCAGATTAAATTTCATTTGGCATTTCCTGCTGTTTACTTGGACGGTGATGTCGGAGTAAGTTATTATTTATTATTTCTTTCCCTTGACATTCTGATTAGCTCATCAGCAATCAGTCACCATTCAAAGCTCTTCAGTTGCTTTTATTAAATAACAATCCCCTCCTCCCCAAGTCTGCAAATTATTCAGGTTTGGGAAAGAGTAATGTCTCTTCAGAGAGTGCTCACCCCAGGCCGATGAAATGTCGTCAGTCATGTTGCTACAAGACTCAGAATAAATCATGGAATCTTATGACAAACTTTAAGTATTGTATGGTTTCTAGGGAATTTTAAGGGCATGCCAGCCACCTTTGGATTAATTCAGGCTTTGATGATTTTTGAGAGGGAGTGTTGAGCAATTGGTTAAATTGTATATACCAGTTGATCGTGTGAATTTCTTCTTAGCTTGGGCTGTGTAAACTCAGTATGTATGTTATTCTTTGCTTTTTCTGTGAATTAGAGCAAAACTCACATCCAGGTACAACTGCAGCAGAGATTATCATGAACTCAGTGAGCACAGTGGAGTTTCTTTCAAGATTTCTGGGGATGGTCTATTATCTTTGGAAAGAGTCCAAGAACCAGTCTATACACATTGAAATTTTTTTGCACATTAGATTTAATCTTGAAAAGTTATGTATAGGGCAAATATTTTTTAAACTGAGTTACATTTTCCCATGATAACCAAGGAAATCTGTTCTCACAGAAAAAGACAGACTCTGGTCCTTTTCTAACAAAAATCAAACTTTGAAATCATAACGTTTTTCAGTGAGTATCCGCATTTGTCATTGCACAGATTATAGTAATTCTCTATATGAGAAGGTAGTGGAGTGGATCCATGATCTTGAACACACAATTAAAAACAAATAGTTATTTCCATGTTACTGAGATTTCTTCCCCTGAGGTGCGGGACTTGAATGTTTAAGCAGACACGCCATCCGTGATGTTGTGTCTTGTCTTTAGTGACATTGTCTAGTGAATAGAGTCATAAAAAAATTGTCTTTTCTTTTTTTTAGATTTATTGGACTGCAGTCTTCTGTGGTCAGTGGAGAACTTTAGATGGATCACTATGGACTTTAAAAAAAGAATAATCTCAAAGCAAAGTTGGCCTTAAAGTGGAGCAATATCAGTGGGATGTCTATCCTGCTTCCATATTTTAATGATTGAGAAACCAATCAGATTTGTCTTTTGAATCCTGTAAAAGCCAACTGGACTACCCTTATAGAGGACCTGGAAATTATGAGCGATGATATGCTGGCTCACCTGGCAAGGACATGACAGAGGGTTAGACAAAAATATCTCACAGACTTGTTATCCTAGTAAATTCTTTAAATCACCCATAAAGTACAATATGTATAGTTTTGTGTGTATAACTCTGAACACTGATTCTTATGCATATGCAGTCTGAGAACCACTGGGCTAGAATAAAGGAAGGAACAAAAGGGTTGCTGTCTAGATACTCAAACCATTCTTTCTTTATGATAACTCCCCAATCCATGGCAGAGTGGGGGGCAGAAGTGGGGAAGGTTTTCAGCTCTAAGGTCAGCCTACATTTGGCACATATGATGTGAGTCAGTTGAATATCCTATCTACCTTTGGGTTCTATAGTTATCCTCAGCCTTCTAGCATTCATATTTGTGTATGAAAATTGCCTGATGAAATTGTGTAACCCACCTACCTAAACTCTCCATGGTGGAGTCGTGAATATGTGTTTTTTAAATTTTTTTTGGTGATGAAGTTTTGGAGGGTATGAATATGTATTTTTAGAGAGCAGCCCATGTGATTCTTAGGGGATCAGCATGTCGCCTTTGGAACCCAGTGATCAAGAGAACCCAGGGAGTGGGTATTTTGCCACAAGAGACTACTATGAACATTTCTGCTCCTACTTTAGCATAAATTATTTAGGAAGTGACAACTGTATTTTTCATCTAGATTTAAAAAGGACATAATTTCAGTTGTTAAGCAAATCAACCTTTTATTAGGTGAATCATCCAGAAGATTGATCTTTTAGTAGATATAAAATTAGTACCCTTAAGTTTACATATTTTAAAAAATTACATACCCACCAAGTCATTTATTTGCTCCAGGGGCTAGAACCTTTGATTTCCACTCACAGTATCACTGAAACAATCACTGAGGTTTTGTTTGCTTGTTTGTTGGTTTTTCATAACTTGGGTTTTGAATTGTATTCTTTTTTTTTAATTTTTGGAAGGGAACTTGGTATTTCTCCCAATTTTGTTAAAGCTCAGAATTTTCTACAAAATTCGGTTTAAAAAAGAATATGCATTTCATCTCTGATTTGCTAAGGTGAGGAACCCTTTCAACACGAACATTTCCTGTGCCCCTGCCAAATTTGTCTTCACTTGTCCTTACTTTCTGAATCAGGAAGTATTTTCTTTGCTTGTATATGCTGGTCTCACCCATTCTAGTTTCTCTTGCATCACGTCTCATCGGTTTTGCTCCTTTTCTTTATCCTCTGTTTTTCTCTCCCTTTGTCTTTTCCTCTGCTTCTGAACAAAATCTGTTTCTCCACCTCACGTCACCAGCTCTCTCTGCATCGTGCCATGTCTCAGTCTATCTAGTGTGTCATCTCTTTCTCCCCTATCCCAGCCAGTGTTCTTGAAACATTAACTGTATTTGCTACATTTCCATCTTGACCTTTTGCAGTCTGGCTTCTATTCTTATCCCTTTGTTGGAGCTCCACTTTGAATGAGTCCCCTGTAACTTCTCACTTTACACATCTAGCAGTCTTTTCTAACCTCTCATTCTCTTTAACCTTTATGCAGTATGTGAGGGTGCACAGTCCACCCTCCTTGATAGGTCTTCTGGTGACATATGTGACACTTCAGGCTTGGTTGTCCAAACTCTCTGACTGCCTTGTCCCTGATTTCTTTGCTGAATTATCTTCTGTGCTTGCTATATAAATATATTTATTAACATGTTCTTCTGCCTTTGCTGTCCCTCCCACTTTTTTTTTTTTTTTTTTTTTTTTTTTTTTTTTTTTTTTTTGGTACATTCCTTCTTACTATATTTCAGCTCCAGAAGCTAGGACCAAACTGTGGGGTATATCCTGGGGGATTCCGGGACTGAGCTGAACCCAGAGAGAACATACCTGAGATGGCTAGAAGAAGGGAGAATGAGATGGAGACCCAAGGTTATAGTTGGGAAAATGGTACCCAAATCCCATCTCTGAAATGTAAGGATGAAAAATGGGGGAGTAAGCAGTGAGAGTGGTAGTTTGGTTAATGGGAAATAGGGTAGATGAGTGGCTCAAGAATGTGAAGGTGTATGTTCTCCAGGTCACTTTGTATGAGAGTGCCTAATACATGTTACCTGGGAGTATGGTCTGTATAAAGAATTGTACTGGGGTTTGGTTTCAAACATCATTCCTCTGGGGATGAACGTTCAAATTTGTATCTGAAGCCCCAGTAAGTTCTCTTACGTAGCAGAGTTCTGTTTCCATCTTTCTCTTAGATGATTTCACCGGGATATCCAAGTGGTACGCCAAATTTAATATGGCTCAATTTTATCTTTCTCCTGATACTGACTCCTTTGGGGAGGGATTCCTAATCCCCTGTATCCCCCTCCTGGATCAAATATTTAGAGTCATCTTTGTTTCCCCTTTTTTAAACTAACCTCCATTCAGCAATTTGAAAACTTTGTCAGTACTCTCTCCATGATGTCCTATAACTGGCCCCACCTTTATTTTCAATTTATAGGTTGACTGCTACCCTACACTCCAGAGATAGCTCCCTATTTATTACCTCCTAACACCAATTATTATGTTCATTTCTGCCAGTGTAATGTTTCCAAACCTCAACTGTGAAATTTAAAAGATACTTTAAACCTATCACAATATCCCTAGCCAGAGATAATGGCTTCCCCCCTCAGGGTTTTGTAGTAGCTATGTTTTCTATCACTGTGTGTATGTGTAATTGTTACATTTGTGTGTGTGTGTGTGTGTGTGTGTGTGTGTGTGTGTGTGTAGATTGTAGATTGTAAACTTGTTAGGGTATAGTACCTGTGTCTTGTTTACCCTGTATCCCCACATATTCCTTGTACTGACATGCAACAAATATTTATCAAATGAAATTAAACAGCTAGTTGGGCTGGAAGGAATCTAATCTCCATTAATAGTAGGTGACCTGGGATAGTCATTTTAATTTGACATTAATTTCATTTTTGTGCATTTGTTTTATTCTGAAAAGCTTTTTTATTAAGCTGTGCTGATGGCATAAATGGAACAGTTAACTGGAAGACCAAACAGGCCAACAGTTTTATTATCAGCAGAAAAATCACTGGTGGGAAGAAAGATGGTGAGTTTAGGTGGTAAATCTAAATCCCCTTTGGGGAATCAATTAAATGTCTGCTTCCAATATTCTTTTTGCTTTTTTAGTCATGTGTGGATTTTTTTTTTTTGATAAGTTAGTCTGAAAAACTCCAGTTTTGTTTTCCTAATCTTCTAAAACTTCTGATCCTTTATGTTCTTAATCCATTATTTTCTAAGTTTTTTTCCTTTGCCATAGTTTTGCCTTTTTTTTTTAACTAAAAATAATTCTTGTTTTTAACCTATTGTGACCCTTATCCAGTCACTAGCTTGCCACTTATAAAAATTGTTACAGTGTGGTCATTATAACAATTTATTTATAATACTGTAAAACATTAAGAAGCACATTTAACATAAATTATTTTAAAAACAATATTTATACAACCTTAGAAAAATGGTCATAAAATATTTTGTTAATTGTGGATGATTTTTTGACTGATTGTTTTGTTGCAAAACCAAATTGATATGTTTTGCTATTAAGTAATTATATGGCACTTATTTTCTATCAGAAAGAGGACCTGACCCTTGGATGATTGATTATTTTTTCTGAATTTGTTCTTCCCTATCATAAATGTGTCCATTAGCAATATGCCAGGACCTTTGAAATAATGCATTTCATCAGGGAGAAAAAGACTTAATAACGAAAAGATTAGTTGTTTTCAAAATGTCAATTATCATCATAAGTTTTCACTTAATATTTCTTGATTATTTGCCTTTAAGATCTCTCTGCCCACAACCCTCTGCCCCAAACACCCTCCCCCTCCCCAACACACAATTTTGGCTATATGTGACCATACACATTGACATGTAGCCTCATTTCTGTAACTTTGGGGCAATCAAGTGTCTATAAAAATAACAACAATTTTAAAATATTTTTAAAAGAACAGTCATTTTGTGTGCTAAAATTACTGCCATGTGACAAATCCTGGGTACCTGGTAGGAGTGATTCCTGGTTTACCTCATTGTCTTCATACAGCCCTGAAGTTGAGGATCACTAGCTTTTTTCCAGCTCACACCAAATTATTCCTTATGTGGAATCATCCACTGCCATGTTTGTTTCACAATAGGACAGAGGCTTCCAATTCTCCTCTACTCTGCTGTTTTTGAAACAAACCAGCAAACACCATTGCATTTCTAAGGAATTTTTATTGTGAATACCTATAAGAAAAAGTTTTATAACAATAACTTCCCATGAGAAGGTCACAAAAATTTATTTTAAAAAGCACTAAATGCACTTACTCTAGGTCCTAAGCCCATCATCTCATAGTCTTTGCCCCAAACCCTCCTTAGGTATTCTCAAGGGGTTCTCAAGGTTTCTTCAAGGGAATTACCCGGGACGACCACCTGTGTCTGGCAGGTTCCTTAATCAAGTTGAGGGCCCTCAGCTTCTTAGACACATCCATTCTCCCTGTGTTCTAATCTTCCTAGTTATGGCCCCAGATGGCCCTCAAGGTTACCATCTGCAATGTACTAATGCTTTATCATCTCCTGAGGACTTGAGATCTGCCCTGATTACCTGGTGCCCCACATGAGATCACCAAAAACTCTCCCTTTGGACTTCACACCATTCTGCACTATATTGACAGTCATCCTTTCTTTTTCTTTAGTTTCTTCTCTTTAACTCTGATCCCTAGAACTCCTGTTGTCTTTGAATATGTACCTCCATTTCATATTTGATTTGCTAAAAAGGTGTTCCATAAGAAGCTGTTAAACCCTGTTGAGTCATTCACTCTGGTGTTTTCTTAGTGAAATGTACTATTCCAAGACCTTTGCATACAACGTTCTCCAGAATCTTCAAGAGATACTTGTCTTTTCCTCTTTTAATCTTCATGCTCCCATTGGACCCCAGATTGATTTTTCTCCTTCAACCAGAGTGATAACCATAGTTCTCAAAATAGAAGTGATCAATACATCTTGAATCTACTGAGGTACCACATCCTCGGTTTCTTTGAACTCATCTTTAGCTTCTTCTCCCTTCCTGGTCTCCTCATCCAATTTAAATCCTACCATTGTAGTTCTATGTACAGAGAACATTGAGAGAATAATACATTTCATTAACTGCATGAAGAGAATTGTTTCTAGTTGCTCATGTAGCAAGGCCATTTTAAGTGCTAACCACAGATATCAAATGTTCTTTGGGATGTTCTTGACCGTGAGTCCCAATCATCTTTTTTTGACAATTTCAAGAGACCACAAAAGATTATAAGAACACTTATATAGTAAGGTAAGTTTAGTGATTGTATTTTTTTGGTAACTTTCTTTTAAAATAATGTTCAGTTCCAAACTTAGCAGTGGGATGTGTCTTTTCTATAAATAGGATTTTGAGGTATTTGGAGTCTCAGACAATATATTTGGCAACATTCTACCTTGATATACATTAAATACTTAAAAAAATCATAAAGAGCTCTCTAAATATGGATTCCCTTTTCTTTTTCCTCACGTAGAGATAGACAAACTTAAAATTTATCCCAGCATAATTTAAGTAAAAGAGGATGAATAAGCCTTCATGTTACCAGCTTATATACTTCACTTAGATAAATGTTTCTAAATTCTCCTTTCTTACTCAAGACAACTTATTTTCCAAAATAGGTTAGCTTTAGGTTTGCTGACAGACTTTCATTGCTTTTTTTCTTAAGAAACAAGAAATGAACTTTCTCCTAAGAGAAAGTAAAAAATAATCATGTACTGATTTCCTATTTATTTTCCACTTAAATATTAAACTTGAATTTGACGTTCTTGGGAGTGAAGTCTATGTGCTATGAATAATTTGTAGAATTCTGTTCTGCCATCATAAAGGAGCTCCTCTTAGCTCACTGACAGTCAAGGAATGGGCATGGCTTGAAGATAGAAATATCTCTCTAGATGCCTTCTGCTTTTGTGTGGTTGGAGAGGAACAGGAAGTACTCCTAGGACTGAAAATACATGTTCTTCTTTGCCTCTGAAGGTGGTAAAGTCAGGACGAAGAATCACAGAGTTCCAGGACTTCAAAGGACCATCTATGAGGGAGATGAGTTTCTCCTTCTAGGCTCTGGTTATGATGGCTGAAATGTCTCCTTTTAAGCTTCAGGTTTGTTTCTTGCTTTAAACAAAAGAATCTCTAGGTTTGTTTCTTTCTTAAAATTGTGGTTGTCAATGCACTTCTTCCAGTTGTGCAGTGTTCTTACGATAACTTCACAAAATAGTGAACTTGGATTATCTGGTCAAATTCTGGTTTGTCATCAAACAAGAGAGATAATTAAGAAAGCAGAGGTGTTATGCAGCATAATTAGCTTGCTCTAGCAGGTCATAATAATATAATGTACAGCCACCAAATGTATTACCTTATGTTTTCAAATCAACAAAATATGTGACTTCCTGGCTTCAAGTCCCCAGTCTTTCCTCTTACTATTCCTGTAGGCTTGAACCTGCCATTTTGTCTCTCTGGATTCAATTTTGTTACCTATAAAATGAAGGACTGAGCTCTCCAGGAGAACAAGTGCATGCCAACTCCGATCGGTAGCATCTGTTGGGAATTCTGGGTTAAGTAGAATGCTGAGGCCATATCCAAGTAGGAGGTAATGCTATGATCTGTCTTTGGTAGAGAAATATATTTGGCATGCTCAGACAGAATGACATCTAAAGCCCTTTTCAACTGCGGCATTCGTGAGACTAAGTTTATTGATCACCAATTAACAATGGTTTGCAACCACTTTCCAACTGACATTTAAGAAAAAAACAACAGGACAAAACAAAACCATGACCATTATATGGAAAATCAAGATGTTTAACAAAATAGTTTCAGGAAGTGGCTTTGGTTGGGAGAGAGAGAGAAAGAAAAAACAACCTTTTTGCTTTTTGTAGAAAAAGACGCGAATCGTGGTTTGTCTTCCACCTCACATAAAGCACAGTGCCCTTGCCTCTTAGAGGAATGAAGTTTAAAAAGGCAATGTAATGCCTTCCTTGTGATGAATTCTACAGCCTAGGCATGGTCTGCGAAATAGAAGCGGTCACTGGCCACTGCCAAATGAATGGCCTACAGCACTTTGATGTTGAGTAAACTCAAAGGTGAAGGGGAGACTGCTGAGAAAAGCTTCCGATTCAAAACCAAGATTTATAAAGCGGGATGGATAAAACACCAGGTAAATCTTACTGAGGAAAAACAACCCAACAGGTTGTGTGCTTGGCTGGAGACTGATGTCCCTCAGAATATTTTTCTATAGCAATTATCAGGTTTGGTAATTAAATTTTAACTTGACCGTAGAAACGACACATTAAAAAATAGGTTGGGAAGGAAACCATACATATGTCAGACTCCAAAAACCCTGAAATGAGTTCTCTCAATGCAGAGATAGCAGATGAGATTCATTTCTTATAACCAATTCTGATTAACTGGTAGCAGCTTCTCAGAGTGCTGTGGATACCAGGGTCCCAAGCCTCAGAAGGAGCTTGGCAGCTGTTAAGGCTATAAAATATAAGAAAAGGATCATTTTTTCCTGGAAGAACTTACAATTTTAATGACCAGGGGTGATCATATAGTAAAGGAAGTTTAGGAATTATATTTTTAATGTAACTTTCTTTGAAAATAATGTTGCCATTCTTAACATTAAGATTAGCATAAGGATTCTTAATGTAAAGAGGATTTTGAGGAATGGAAGTATCTTGGTGCTTGGCGAAAGGTTGGTCTTCAAAGCTATACCAGATAAATGACTGTTCAGTATTATCTTTCATCTTAAACGTTTTTAAAAACCTTCTCCATCATTTTTACCCTCACTCTTTTTTTCTGGATAATACTATCAAGGCAATACTATGAAGAGTTGAGAAATAGGCATCCTCTTAGTTAAGTAATTTGCACTCAGTTAAAGCACCCTTGTCATGCTTCCCATTGAACAGCTTATCTCTTAAAATTCTCTGAACATGAGAGGCAAATTAACAAAATTGAAATGCTTTTAGAAATAGGCTTTAATTTCTTATTAATAAATTACTTATTAATTATAGTGCATTATAATATTC